TAGAGTATTCTGGAATGGTTGATGCGTTTAGGAAAACGGTTAGACATGAAGGCTTTGGTGCATTGTACAAGGGTTTGGTCCCAAACTCTGTAAAGGTTTGTCTCTCAAAACCATCCTCTCTGTTTTTTAATGAGAGTTAAATCAGATATGTTATTTGTGTGTTTGTTTTTCAGGTTGTGCCATCGATAGCTATTGCGTTTGTGACGTATGAGAAGGTTAAGGACATACTAGGAGTTGAGCTCAAGATATCAGATTGAAAGAATGAAGGAAGTTTACGTGATTGTATTAATCTTAGATTTAAGCTTTATGATTTATGTATTGCACCAATAATACAAGTACTACACTAATAATCAAAAGAGCAAATAGATACTCATTTGAAACTCAGGGTACACTTCAGAGAGACTAATGACTAGTAGGCCCGCGGTTATCAACCGAACCAAACCAAACCGAAAAGTTTATGTTTTCGGTTCCGTTCAGCAACTAAAAAAAAATTCGGGTTTCAGTTCAGTAATCGGTTAGATTCGGTTTTCTAAAGAAAGTTAATTATTTTCTTTACCAACTAATACCAATCTTAAACAAAAATTTGAAATGAATTAACTAAAATAAACCTAAATTTCTTAAATTTTATTCAATTTAAACCAAAAAACCAAAACTTTCTTCCCGGTTCACTGTGGCGAGATTTCAACCGACCGGAACTAACATAAGAAACCGAACCCGCAGGCCAATGAGATATATTCTTTCCCAAGGCATAATGGGCCTATAAAATACGATTGTAGGCCCAATAAGATTTTGCGAACAAAAAACAAACAGCGCAGGTTAGCAGCTGAGAGTGTGCCTATGCTGCTATGCCGACAGAACTCTCTTCACAACCCCCTTTTTACCGAACCACCAGACTCACTCACTCAGTCCCTGCCCTCACAAATTTTCTTTTAAATTAATTATCTCTCGCAATTTTTATTTTTTTTAGCTTTTTAAAAAGGTCATCCGCGCCATCATTTCATTTTCTCAATCATCGATCTCCCAAAACCCTAGTTTTTCTCCTAGAGGAAGCATAAGAAGAAGATGCCTCGAGAGATAATAACGCTGCAAGTGGGACAATGCGGGAACCAGATCGGGATGGAGTTCTGGAAACAGCTCTGCCTCGAGCACGGCATCAGCAAAGACGGTATCCTCGAAGACTTCGCTACTCAGGTCCTTGATTTTTTTTTTTATCAATTGATTCGACGTCGTTTCATGATTTCTCACTGATTGGGCCTAAATTGAATAATAACTGTTAGGGAGGTGATAGAAAAGATGTGTTTTTCTACCAAGCGGATGACCAACACTATATCCCACGAGCGTTACTCATTGATTTGGAGCCTAGAGTTATCAATGGGATTCAGAACGGTGACTACAGGAATCTTTATAACCATGAGAACATCTTCGTTGCGGATCATGGTGGTGGTGCTGGTAATAACTGGGCCAGTGGATATCACCAGGTTTTTTTTTTTTTTAACTAAGACTTGTTTTGATTTGTGACAAAAGAAAAAAAAAAATATCGAATATGGTTTTTTAGATGAGTTGGTAAATTTGGGTTTAGGGGAAAGGTGTTGAAGAGGAGATAATGGATATGATTGATCGAGAAGCTGATGGAAGTGATAGTCTTGAGGGTTTTGTGCTTTGTCACTCCATTGCTGGTGGCACTGGCTCAGGTTTTCATTCATCTCTTATCTTATTTTTTTTTTTTAGATTATAATGTTAGTCTTTTACCTCTGTAAAGGTCTAGTTTCCAATCTTATAAGCTTAAGTTAAGGTTCTCTCAGTGTTTTATTTACTGCTTCTTCTACTGTGAATGGCCTTTTCTGTATGAAGTTATGACTTATTAAGCATTTTTTGGCAATCCCATATACTCCCTCTCTGTTTTAATATACATGATGATGTTTTAGGGAGGTTTTGTTGTTTCACAATATTAGATGTTTGCACAAATGTAAATAACTTTCTTTTTTTTTTATCAAAAAAAACTGTGTAGGTAGTTGTATTTTTATTATTTCTATTTATAACTAAATAAATTTAGTTTTAAATTATATTCTAGTGATGCTTGTTTTTTTTCCTAATATTTGTGTATTTGGGTAAAATATCATATAATATGAAACAGTGAGAATATTATTATAGGATTAAGGACCTTTCTCCATGCTGTTTAGTCGGCAATACATTTACTAAATGATAAGTCTTGTTGTGATATAGCCATTTTTTTAGTTAACGTTCTCAGGCTGATTCTTGTGGTCTGAATGAAGGTATGGGCTCTTATCTGTTGGAGACTTTAAACGATCGCTACAGCAAGAAGTTGGTTCAGACATACAGTGTCTTCCCCAACCAGATGGAAACAAGTGATGTAGTTGTCCAGCCCTACAACTCACTCCTCACACTGAAGCGACTTACCTTGAATGCTGACTGTGTTGTGGTCCTTGACAACACTGCATTGACTAGAATCGCTGTGGAGCGCCTTCACCTCACGAACCCCACCTTTGCTCAAACGAATTCGTTAGTGTCTACTGTGATGTCTGCTAGCACAACGACACTGCGTTATCCTGGATACATGAACAATGACTTGGTTGGGTTGCTTGCGTCTTTGATCCCAACGCCGAGGTGTCACTTCCTCATGACAGGGTATACTCCGTTGACTGTTGAGCGCCAGGCCAATGCCATTCGTAAGACCACCGTGCTGGATGTTATGCGAAGGCTCTTGCAGCCAAAGAATGTGATGGTGTCGTCTTATGCTAGAAACAAAGAAGCTAGTCAGGCAAAGTACATATCAATCTTGAATATCATTCAAGGAGAAGTCGATCCCACTCAGGTAACCTCTCTGTCATTCTTGTCAGACTTATCTCCCGGTTGGTTCTGTCTTTGTTGATGTGTTTGTTTGTTTCACTAGGTGCATGAGAGTTTGCAGAGGATACGAGAAAGGAAGCTCGTTAACTTCATTGAGTGGGGACCTGCAAGCATACAGGTTCTAATCAAACTGTGTCTGCAGAGAGTTATTGCTTCTGACTTGGCCATGGACTTGCATCACATTTTTTTTTTCTTGATAGGTTGCACTTTCCAAGAAGTCTCCATATGTTCAAACTGCACATAGGGTAATCTAACGTTGTTCCTTATATATATATATATATATATATTAGGTTGCTAGTACCAAGATGCGACTAAAGACTCTTACATTATTGTTGTGTATTTGATATTTCAGGTCAGTGGACTTATGTTAGCAAGCCACACAAGTATAAGACACCTTTTCAGCAAATGTTTGAGCCAATATGATAAACTGAGGAAGAAGCAAGCTTTCCTTGACAATTACAGAAAGTTTCCCATGTTTGTAAGTTGACCGTTTTAGATGTTTCGTCTTTTTTACTTTGTGTTTATTGCACCAAAGCTTTGACTATTGATCATGGGTGGTATGGACAGGACAATGATCTCTCGGAGTTTGATGAAGCAAGAGACATCATTGCGAGTTTGGTAGATGAATACAAGGCCTGTGAATCTCCAGATTACATCAAATGGGGAATGGAGGTATGTATTTAAGCAGCTTTTACCATATATATAAACACAGTTATGGAGGAAGATTAAACGATTATTGTATATTCTCTCAGGATCCTGAACAGCTTGTAACTGGTGAAGGCAATGCTTCTGGTGTTGTGGATCCTAGGATGGCGTTCTAAATGAGAACCCAGAGTGAAGTCACGTTGTATCACTTTTAAATGAGATTTTTTCAGGTCATCATAGGGTTTTTACTTTATAATGGGGGTTTTGGTAGGATAAGTAGAAGTAATGATTAAGAGTGTTGGCACCTAAACCTTTATGTGGATGAAGACCGGACTTAGCAACATTATTTATGTTATTTAGTCTTTTGATCATTGACCCAAAATTTCAAACATGAATAGAGTGGACACATGCAACTCGCGTCTTCACCGATCATCCGCTTTATTCCAAGCTTGGATCAATTGAATATTCTCCTTCCGTCGATTACTTCTCCACCGTTGCAAAAATCCTTCTCTAATTAATAACTTGGGCAAGTTAGAGAATTAGTGGGTTATTATTAGGGGGTTCAAATTTGGTTCTTGTTAAATGGCTCTTGGCTCACTAAGCAATGCTTAGTATAAACAAGGTGAACTACAAATATTTATAAAATTGATAAATATTTATTTATAAATTGTTATAAAATTATATCAAAAACATAATACATATCAATTTTTTTTTAAAAAACACATAAAATTACAACATTGTTATATATATATATATATATATATATATATATATATATATATTATAATACTATTATCGTAAAATCGTTGATAACCACCGATTTACATTTTAAAATAATGTGAACTAGGTGATATCCGCGCGTATGCACGGAGTGAATTTTTTATATTAATGTTTGTTCGGTTTTAACATTTTGTAACATTATAATCTTTATCGATTGTAAAATAACAAATACAAATGTTGATCTCTTAAATATATCATATGTTTGGGCATTTAGGGATCCGTCGGTTTTGGTTCGATTGATTCGTATTTTCAAATTTTTGGTATTAAACTTTTTAGACCCATTCAAGTTTGATATATAAAATATATAAATTACCTTGATATATAAAATTATATTAACATATTATATTAATTTCAGAAATCTTCGGATCTAGTTTAGATTTCGGTTTGGTTCAGATTATAATCAAATCCTAAATTATTAAGATCATAAGTCTTGTTCGGATAAATAATAATAGTGGATAATAGTCTCAGTGGGTTTTGTTTCAAACGGGTAGTTACTTCATTTTGTTATGTAATGGGTAATATTGGGCCAATTCACTCTTGATATTAGGGGATAGTTATGCAAATTGCTTTTATCTTTGTAAAAGATTATACCAATAGCTTCTTTTACTCCCTCTCTCTTACTTTTTTTTTTTAATGGTAAAAAACCCTTGTAGATTCCCACCACTAACTTTTCTTTTTTTTAATGTTGCCCTTAGATCCAACGACAATTCGGCTCATACCCGATTAGGTTTGTTCTCGATACCAATCGTAACGGTTTAGGGCTGAGTCTCTGATTAGATTTCTAGAAGCTCTGCAAAAATCGAAATCGCATGGGTGAGAATGAATCATTGGCGGTTTCTCCGAACGGGCTATTACCGGGGAAGGCTGCATCGGTGACACGTCACCTCGACGCGGAGCGATGGTCGGAGGCGGAGGATGTAACCGCTAAGCTAATCGCTTGCATCCAGCCGAATCCTCCTTCGGAAAACCGCAGAAACGCCGTTGCGAGATACGTGCGGAGACTTATCATGGAATGCTTCCCTCCTCTCCAAGTTGAGGTGTGAATTGTGAGAATTGATTCGTATTATTGTTATGATAAGTGACTTTAACTATCACTCTTATTGTTTGTTTGGTTGTTAGATCTTTACATTTGGATCGGTTCCGTTGAAGACTTATTTACCAGATGGAGATATTGATTTAACGGCCTTTAGCACGAACCAAAGCTTGAAGGATTCATGGGCTAATTTGGTTCGTGATATGCTTGAGAAGGAAGAGAAGAATCAAAACGCTGAGTTTCGTGTTAAGGAAGTCCAGTATATTCAAGCTGAAGTATGGTTGATTGATATATATATCCTAATTTAGTGATTATTCTCATGAGTGTGTTTTATTAATTTAAGTGTTTGTTTTCAGGTGAAGTTAATTAAGTGTCTGGTGGAGAACATTGTGGTTGATATATCTTTTAATCAGATTGGAGGTTTGTGTACTCTATGCTTCCTTGAGGAGGTTAGCTGATTATTTAGCAGATTATTTGATTATTTTCTCTTTCTGAATTTAGCAGATTATTTGATTTATTTTTATATCCTCTCTTTATTTGTGTAGGCTGATTTGTTTATAAACCAGAACCATTTGTTCAAGCGTAGTATCATATTGATTAAAGCTTGGTGTTATTACGAGAGCCGTATTTTGGGAGCTCACCATGGGCTTATCTCAACATATGCTCTTGAGACCTTGGTTCTTTACATATTTCATGTTTTCAACAACTCCTTTTCTGGTCCCCTCGAGGTAATAGTCAGTGTGATACTACTACGAAACTTGTCTTCAAGAATTCTGGTTCGTATATTTGACTGGATTGCTTGCGTTTTTGTAGGTTCTCTATCGCTTTCTTGAGTTTTTTAGTAAGTTTGATTGGCAGAATTTTTGTATTAGCCTCTGGGGTCCTGTTCCAGTTAGTTCACTTCCAGATGTTACAGGTATTTTGTAAAATGCGTTCCATCTCACTTGTTTTTTTTTGATTGTGCATCGAACTGACTGTCTTGCTGTGCAATGTTTCGCAGCGGAGCCTCCTCGAAAAGATGTTGGAGAGTTAGGAAAGAGCCAAGTGTTTCTTAAAGATTGTAGTAGAGCTTATGCAGTTAACCCTGTTGCTCAAGAGACACAGGGGCATCCTTTTGTTGCCAAACACTTCAATGTTATAGACCCTTTGCGTGAAAACAACAACCTTGGACGCAGTGTCAGTAAAGGTGCTCCCTGTTGCAGTTTTTTGTACAATATGTGCTTTTATAGTTGAACGCTAATACATAATCTGGCCTTGGTAGCTTATTGAAGGTGTTCTGTTATTTATACTGTATGAAGCTAGAAGATGCCAAAACAGGTTGATTTACTTACGTACTTGGATTTTTTTTTTGTTGTACAATTGTTTTTGCAGGCAACTTCTTTAGGATACGAAGTGCATTTGCTCTTGGTGCGAAGAAGTTGGCTAGGTTACTTGAGTGCCCTAAGGAGAATTTGATCCATGAGGTTAACCATTTTTTTATGAATACATGGGAAAGACATGGCAGTGGTCGTCGTCCTGATGCTCCTGGAAATGATCTATGGTTATCAAGACTGGGAGATCCTGAGCCTTGTCTTCAAGCTGAAAATGGTAGTAATTCTTCAAGCAGCAAAAGAAACCAAAGTTCCGCCCCTCCCAGTATGCCCTCTCGACAAAAAAACGGTGGAACGGAAGTTATATCTAAAACAACGTATCAAACCCAGAAGAACTGTGGTAACTCTTACCAACTTTCTCAGGAAGTTGGGTCTAATCAAAATGCTTCAAATGGTAAGCTTCAGCAAACTGTTAAGCCAGAAATCATGGTGAATAATTTTCATGGAAGGCATCTCTTTGCCAGGACACGGTCTAGCCCTGAGCTTACTGATACTTGTGGTGAAGCTCTTTTGCCAGCAAGGCGTAGTAGAGCCTCAGAAGCTGGAAAACGCCTAATTAATTCCACGAGGGCTGATAGTATCAAGGACAAAAATCTAGAGTCTGAGAGTTTGTCAAGCAGCATCAGAAATGCGGCTGACTCATCTTCAGTTAGGCATACACCTTCCCCTCGAAGTCCTGATAGTACTGTTGACATGAGTAGTGCAGTGAACAGTTATTGTGATGATTTAGGTTCAGTTTCTGTGAATGAAGAGTTCTCTGCAACAGGGGAACAGGGAATGCAACAGGAAGAGCAAGATCTTGTTAACTCGATAACATATGTTACCGGGCAAGGTTTTAATGGTCACTTCCCTTTTCCTTTTAATTTTTCTACGGGCCCCCACTTACCGTTTCAAATGACACCTGCCGTCTTAGCTTCAATGGGATATGGTCATAGGAATGTGCCTGGTATTGTTCCTTCTAACATTCCTTTCATGGAAACACCTTGGAGTACCAATATGCAATTTCCGCAAAACTTTGTGTCTCCACCATTTACCCATTATTTTCCGGGTGGATCACATCCAATGTCAGAAAACCTGAGCAAATCTGGTAATGAAGAGATGGGGTCTTTAGAAGTGAATGTTGAAGACTCTGAACATGATAACTGGAACGAGCAAGAGAGGGGAGCTCCTAATTTTAGACTTGAAAATGGGGGCTATGATAAGCATCACTCATCTTCTACAGAACACAGTTTCGCACCCTCAGGTCGTAAATCTCGATCAACAAGGGTAGATGATTTAGAGAATTCACACCCTCCAGTCAGAGGCAGTCAGATTCAAAGTGAGGAGAGAAACGCAGGCTCTAGATCTGTTTCTTGTGCTAGTTCCGTTAGAAGCAGGACTTCATCTGAAAGCTCTTGGGATGGATCAACTACAAGGGGCTCAAAGCCAGCTAGGGATAAACGGAATAGGAAAG